CCAGTCTAGAGGGGAGGGAGGGAGAGGTACAGGGAGAGGGAGAGGGAGGGAGGGGGAGGGGGAGGGAGAGGGAGAAGGGGCACACTTTACAAGTAAGGCTCACAGAAATTCTGTGAGCAGCAGAAGAGTGGGGTAGACTCATAGATATTAAGGTCTATCCCAGGATCTGAACAGGGGCGCACTTTAGTAACCCAGAGCCATGTGCCCATTCTCTCTCCCCAACAAGCCTCAAATCTTTTTGGGTCCCCTCCAACTTGGCCTTGTCTCGGTTCCATTTTTCCTCATTCTTGGCTCCTTGCTAAGCATCCCAGCACCTTACTATAAAATGTGTGGAGAAGGAGATTTAGAACATCTCACAGAAAAGAGAGATACTAGGGACAGGGAGAGGGAGGGAAGGAGGGAGAGGGACAGGAAAAGGGGGAGAGAGGGAGGGCGACGGGGAGGGGAAGGGAGAGGGAGAAGGGGCACACTTTACAAATAAGGCTCACAGAAATTTGCTGGCAGCAGAAGAGTGGGGTAGACTCATGGATATTCAGGTCTATCCCAGGATCTGGACAGGGGTGCACTCTAGTGACCCAGAGCCATGTGCCCATTCTCTCTCCCCAACAAGCCTCAACTCGTTTTGGGTCCCCTCCAACTTGGCCTTGTCTCAGTTCCATTTTTCCTCATTCTTGGCTCCTTGCTAAGCATCCAGGCACCTTACTATAAAATGTGTGGAGAAGGTCACTTAGACCATCTCACAGAAAAGGGAGATACTGAGCATGGTCCCCTTCCTGGCTCATAAAGGAAAGATGCATCCTTTTGGAAGGCATTGTAGATTTAGAACATCTCACAGAAAAGAGAGATACTGAGCATGGTCCCCTTCCTGGCTCATAAAGGAAAGGTGCATCCTTCCACTCTCATTGTGCCTTCACAAAGACAGGATGTGGCCTGTGTTCATTCATCAGCAATAAAACTCCACTGAAACAGTTTGCAAACCTCCAAGCTATAGCTCACAAATGGTATTAGCAACTTCTTGGAATTTGTTAAAAAATGCTACCATCGCTTTAGCAAAAAGAGACCCAGGGAAAGGAGGTGGTGGAAAAGAAATTGATTGCACCAGAAGTGATATTAACCAACCGTTTACATGTTTCTCAGGAGATTTTGCCAGGTTTTTCACGGAATACAAAAAACTCATTAGCTTCTTAGACGACATATCGGATGGACGGACAAAGAAAGCGACAGAGCAAAAGGAAACAACATATGCTTCCTAAAGCAATGAAGGTTAGAAACAAAGCCACAATACAATTTATATATATAGGTCATCGGTAAATCGGTAAATGGCTAGAGTCAATAGTATCCAATGGTTTTGCTGGCAATTCTATTTAGAATTTCATAAAGAAGTCGATGGCAATTCTATTTAGAATTTCATAATGAGGTTGATGACTACAGCCCCAATCTAACAACATGCTCATGCTTTACTTCAAGAATATCTGTGATCCCAGGGAGCTCAATAGAACTTCTCCCGTGATTGTTTCGTAGCCAGTTGCATCAATGCTTGCAGGATCAGGGTGCAACACAGAAGGAAACTGGACCCTGTCAGTTTTTTAATTTGATGAGCAGAGTTCTCAACGTCCTGATCAAGGTCCTAATCTCCAGGGGTTGTCTCCACTGTCGTATCTGTCTTTTCACCATCTTTCCATTAAAATGGTTATGTACCTCAGGCAAAACTGTGGCTATACCAAAGTCAATGTCAAAACTCCCATTTAATTCAGTAGGGCCAAGCTTTTTACCCTTATTCACCCCCTGAGTTGTTCCCGTGATTGTTTTGTAGCCAGTTGCATCAATGTTTGCAGAAAGAAACTGGACCATGTCAGGTTTTTAATTTGATAAGCAGAGTTCTCAAGGTCCTGATCAAGGTCCTGATCTCCAGGGGTTGTCTCCACTGTTGTATCTGTCTTTTCACTGTCTTTCCATTAAAATGGTTATGTACCTCAGGCAAAACTGTGGCTACACCAAAGTCAATGTCAAAACTCCCATTGAATTCAGTAGGGCCAAGCTTTTTACCCTTATTCACCCCCTGAGTTGTGTTTTTATAGCACAGTCTGGAACACAGATCCTAGACTTGCAAGCAGTTTACACTCCACATTTAGGACTATCCTAGAAATGTATTGTTTT